ACCTCCTCAACCTGAGAGCCAAAAGCAACCCTTCCTTCCTTAAGCTGCCTTTGTCAGGTAACTGATCACAGCAGTGAGAAAGCAAACTAATATAGCTAGTGCATAAGATAAAGGAAGGAGACAGGGAAAGGGGGAAGAAGAACCAAGGTTAAATATACAAAAGGGGAAAAAAGGCAAGTGGAGAATGTTACAGTCCTAAAACAAGAAACAACCCCCCCAAACAAATACAAATGAGATTTTATTAAAAAAAAGTTAAAAAAGAAACATAAAGAAAAAACAAAAATGACTTCCCAGTAATGAAAAAGTTCAAAACAGGGTTAGGGTTAGGGTTAGAAAAAAATAAAAATATAGAAGTAGTAAACAAAGAAAAGATGCATCAGGGAGTGATGGAGCACATCTATAACCCAGCACTCGGGAGGCAGAGACAGGTGGCTTTCTGTGAGTTTGAGGCCAGCCTGGGCTACAGAGTGAGTTTTATGACAGCCAGGGCTATAGACTGTTTCAAAAAATAAACAAATAAAAAATATGGCAACACCAAAATATTACCAAATGCTGGGAGTGTGGGGGTGATGGGAGATGTCATTCTGTAAATATGTTCCTCTTATTGGTTAATGAGTAAAGCACTGTTGGCCAATAGGAAAACAAGATAGGCCGGACTAGGAGACAATGAGGTTTTGGGGAGAGGGAGGAGGAGTTTCAACAAGTAGGACCGAGAGAGCAGAACTCTGGACCCTCTCTCCGGTAAGATAAGACCGGTAAGATAAGACCACGTGGAAACACTTAGATTAATAGAAATGGATTAATATTTAAAACAGAGCTAGCTGATAAGAAATGCTAGTAACAGGCCAACAGCATTATATCTAATATAGCATCTCTGTGTGTTATTTGGGGCTGGTGCAGGTGTGGGACCAGGCTGGTATGAAAACATGCTCATAACGGGGTGGGGGGGGGCACAGTGGCACAGGCACAAAAAAAAAGAAACTTATGGATGCAGTTATGGTTTCACATGTCTGTAAACCCAGCAAATGGGAGGGGGAATAGAAAGATCAGGAGTTCAAGACTAGCACGGGCTGGCTTTGAGACAAAACAAAGGAGAGATGGCTCAGTGGTTAAGAGCATTTGCTATTCTTGCACAGGACCCAGGTTTCGTTTCCAGCATCCATCCATACAACAATTTACAACTGTCTGTGTCTCTAGTTCCTGGAGGGTCCAGACCTTCTTCTGTCCTCTGTAGGTACCAGGCATGTACACAATGCACTTATATACATGCAGGGTTATTGCAGATAAATTAAAAGTCTTTTAATATAAAATTTCCCGAAATGTAAAAAATGCATAAACAAAATCAGATGAATATATGAAGGAAAATAATAAGGCAAAAAAAAATTTTAATCCTGCTAAATGTAGAAAAATCACAGGAAAAAAATGGGAAAAAAGCAACTTTTTTCCAGGTCCTCAAAAACTGAGAGACTGGGGGCTGAGAGATGCTCAGGGGTTAAGACAACATACTGGTCTTGCAGAGGACCTGATCTTCAGTATCAGCACCTGAATTGTTGGGCGGTTCACAACTACCTATAATTCCTGCTCCCAGGGTAGCTAATACTTCTGGACTCCAAAGGAACCACTATTTATGTGCACACACCCACACACATAATTTAAAATCTCTAAAAAATAAAAAGTCCAGAAAAGAATTAGAGACTGTCAGAGCATGCAGGATGGGGAGGGGGTGTCGTTTTTCCTATGGCTCCTATGGCTAATAATGTCGCCAACTCTCTACTGGTTAAGTGTCTTTTCACATGGCCATTTTCCTTTTGTTTTATGAAACAGGATGTCTGTTGGTCAGATTTTACATTCTGTGGACTGGGCAGGTTTTCTACTCTGCCATGGCTCTCTAAATCACTAGAGTGACTAGTGTTTTAGCTGAATGGTGTCTCCTAAGTGCAGTGGGGATGAGAAGCAGCCATAGCAGAACAGAAGAGATTGGTTTAGCTAGAGGCCCCGTTTTAATGCTTTGAAGGCCTCCTGAATACTAATCACTCTGCTGGAGGGATACAGCTTGTGTATCACTCACATCCCTCGGAACTTGAGTGTTCTTAAGCATTACAAGTAATGGGTAGGTGACTCTAGAAATTTGACCCACCCATGGGTCTCAAGCCCTCATAATAATTTCTCTATATGATTTTACCAGCCTGAGAACAGCATGCTGCCACCTGCATCTTTTGGTTTGTCATTGACTGGCTCTCCTGCCCTCCACAACTGCATCTCTGGACCTCCTTTTATGTGGGGCTCTGACAGGTCAAATTGAGGCTCTGCAGATACTCCCTGACCTCAGGTCCCCAGGTAGCTGTTTTTAAAAAGAGTCTCCTTTAAGACTGCTTCTGGCTGCTGCCCTCTGAGTCATACAGCGTGACAAAATGGGATTTCTCTGCTGTTGAATTTTCCGATGGGGTAATTACTGTCGCATCAAACCTCACAACTGGATTTAAGGCTTATGAGGGTTGTGGGCTTGTTCTGCCTGGCTTTCATTGGCTTACCTATAGGAAGTGGCTTCTATTTTGCCTCCCACTCCCTGCCAGGGAACTGTATGCCTGAGGCTGAGCTTGGCTTCTGTGTCACAGACACATATAATTTTTATTTTCCTGATCCCTTTCTTTCACTTTTGGAGATTTCTGAAGCTCTTCTTTCTGTTTGGGATAAAATCTGTTTCTAATTCTGAAGCTTTCACAGGCTCACACTGGGTAGCCTCATGTAGAGAAGGTAGGTAGGGTTCCAGTATGCAGCTATACAGACCTACAAGCTACCCCAAAACTTGGGATAATCCAAAACACTGGCTGCCAATGACTTTTCTCTCCTCCAATGTGACAGTGAGGACAGAGCAGCACTGGCTGCTCTTGCAGAGGCTTCCAGTTTGGTTCCCAGCACTTATGGCAGCTCACAACCACCTGTAGCTCCAGTTCCAGGGGATCCCACACCCTTTTCTGACCTCTAGGAGCATCAGCCACACATGTGGTAAACATACATGCAGGCATACACTCAAGCACATGTAATAAAAATAAATCTTTGAAAAAGAAAGTTATGTGCCTAAATAGGTGTGTTCATCCCTGCCACAGAAGGTCAATTTATTTTTGTTCTTACAGACAAGTCTATATTTGATATGTTAGGTTTTGGGTATTATGTCAGTTACATTTTCCATTATCGTTGCTGGTACAAAACATCCAACAAATGTAACTTACAGAAGAGAGTATTCCGGTTCATAAGTGGAAGGTACAGGCAAGGTACTGTGGTGGGAGAGTGAGGAGTGGTCACATTGAGTTCACAGTGTGGAAGCAGAGGGAGAGGAATCTAAAAGATGATTTAAATATGCATGCACACTTTTAAGGAGCATATGTATGTAGACCAAAACTTAATGAGAAAGCAAGAAATGGTAAAGGCAAGATTTAGGGTCATATACCTAAAGTGAAGGAAGACTTGAATTAATGTTCTCATTAAAAATCATTACATTGTGTAAGTTGAGTGACATAAGGATCCCCAGAACATGTGGCCACTTTAATAGGGGGTATGCAATAAATCTTGAAATGGCCCAGTTAATCACAAAAAGCAAGTTAAAAGGCAGATTGGTCAGGAAGATGAAATAGGCCAAATAAATAATATATTGTAGCCTCTGCAGACAGAGGGAGGTGCAGAATGCCAAATAATGTAGGCTATATCCAGAAATCAGAATTAATAAAAAGCCATAATACCTTGATTTTAGCTCAGTTTCTCTCACCACACCCCTTTTTTGAGACAGGGTCTTAGGTAACTCAGGCTAGCCTCGAACTTACTATGTAGCCAAGGCTGGCCTTGAATTCCTTGTCTTCCTGAGAGCTGGATTTGCAGACATGTACCACTATGCCCAGTTACCTTTCTGACCTCTAGAAGATAATGCATGTTGGTTTAAATTTATAATTTGTTTCAATAGCAATAAGAAATATACACTGGGCTAGGCGTGGGCCAGTTAATTGAATTATGATTAATGTAGTTCTATCCCTAGGTCCCTCTCCCCACCCCTACCACAGACAAGGGTTTCTCTGTGTAACATCGTGGCTGTCCTGGATCTCGCTATGTAAACCAGACTGGCCTTGATCTCACAAAGATCTCCCTGCCTCTGCCTCCCCAGTGCTGAGATCAAAGGCATGAGCCGTTCCACTTTAATGTCTTTTAAAAAAGGATGAAATCTCTGAAAGGTTCTTCACTGCCCGTCATATGGAGCTCAGTCCTCAGCCCAGTGGATTCTTGACTCTACCTCCTTTCTCTCTGTTTCCTTTTCGAGACAGGGTTTCTGTGTAGTCCTGGAATTTATTCTGTAGATCAGGCTGGCCTCGAACTCAAAGAGATCCACCTGCCTCTGCCTCCTGAGTGCTGGGATTAAGCTCTATCTTCTCTCTTGCGATAGCAAATCAAGACTAGCACTCCATGTCCAATACCTCATCCAGACCAAGGTTTAGGACAGGTCTCAGTCTCTGAGCCTCTCTGCAGTTTTGAATGATTATTAGTTTTTGATGCGATCTTGGATGTACTTCCAAGCTAGCCTTAAATCCATTATCCTCCTGCTCAGCAGTACTGTGCGCCACCACGCGATTTTTTTAGTTTCAACTAGGGTTCTGAAATAGTAGAGGCACATGTCATTTTCATGAGGGATTGCTTTTTTGCCCCTTTACTCACTAATCCGATGAGATAATGGATTGCCATCTCTCTGCAATTTATAAAGCAAGTTACAAGCGGTATGCCTAGGCTAGAAAGGCCTATCTTGCAGGAAAATGAGCTCAAAGACGAGGCTGGCTCTGGTGCAGTCCGATGTCCGCCACAGCTCCCACCCCCATCCCCGGTCCAGTTCAGAGTTGCCTCTCCTGCCCGTCGCGTGAGACGGCGGTTGCTAAACGCGGACCAGAAGTTCTGAGGACAGAGGCCGGCAAGGCCGGCTACTGGGGAACCACGCGGAGCCAGCACACTGCCTCATCTGCAGTTGAAGAAACCGCTCTGGGGCTGGACGGAGGCGGAGCAGAAGCTCACACTGGACCAACAGAAGAGCCTTAAGATGCTAGGAACGATCCTAGGGCGGTCCCCGGCGCGAGGCACTCTGGGATTTGTAGTTTACTTCCCGGACAGCTCCTCTCTCATTTCGGCCGCCCGCCTTTTAAACCTCGCTTTCTCCCGGCACGCCGACTACTTTATCGCGGCACGTCCTCACGTACGACTACACTACCCAGAAATCCCTCCTTCGCGCTCCGGCAGGCGCCCGGTCTCCCTCGAACTACAGTTCCCAGAGGGCTACTGGAGAAGGGCTTCCCCCGCTTTCCCGGGACCACAATTCCCAGAGACTTGACTTCGCGGCTTTTCTCTCGGTGTCGTGTCTCTCTTGGCCCTGGCTAGGCTAGTAGGGCCACAGCGACGACGTGTTCCGTCGTGTCCAGAGTCAGGGTGTACTCTTCGGCCGGGCTTTCTGTTCTTTCAACCACTTTTGCCGGACAGACCGTCGCGGCCGGCTTGAGCGGTGACCTGGCGGGCCGCGCCTGCGCCCTGCCGCGTTTCCTGCCTGGCTGGTGGCGGCGGCCATTTTGTTCATCCTCCTCCTCCTCCTGCTCCTCCTGGTTGGAGCGCAGTGTCCGGAGCGGGCTGGGGGGAGCGAGCCGGAGAGCGGGGTTCAGTACCTTCTCCTCTGTCCCCAGCCGGAGCCCGGAGCCCCCCTCCCCTTCCTTCCCACCCCCTCCCCTCCCCAGCCCTGCCCTCCCCCTTGTCCCGGGATCGCTCCGTCGCACCCACCATGATGGAAGACGACGGACAGCCCCGGACTCTGTGAGTACCCGAGACCGGGGGTGCCAGGCACCGAGCTGCCCGGGCACGCGGGATGCTGAGGGAGGGAACCGGAGAACGGGACCCGAAGCCGAGAGCCCGGCGTCGCGGTGGCGCGCTGGGAAGTGCATTCCTCATCTGTCCCCCTTTCCTAGAGAAGGAAGCCCTCCCTTCCCCCCGAACACAGTTACTTCCTAGGGTCTAGGACTAGTCTCGACCTTTTGCTCCCGATCCCTTCTTTGCACACACTTCCTAGACTGGGCTTGTGCACGGCTGAGGCTGTCAGGCTCGGGAGAGCTCCGGCTTTCCCTGTGCTTTGGGGGCTCCGGGCTGAGCCGGGAGTTGTGGGTCCCCACGGGGGCAGGGCTTGGCGGGGGTGGGACCTCTGTTGCATCCTTTGGCATTAGCACTGAGACTCAGTCCACGTCCTCAGCAGTCCACGTCCTCAGCCTCAGTCACTCCGGGTCCTTTTCCCGAGCCTACAACTCTTTTAACCAGAGGAGCCCCTTATATCTTTCTGCCCCACGTGCCCCACGCTGTCAGAAACACCCGCCCAGCGCCCGCTGCTTTTGAAGTGCCAAAGAGATTGCCTTTTGCTGCCGCGCACGATCTCTGTCCCTTGGATAACGAAGTTTACTTTGAGCGCTCACTACGCCAAACTGACAACCAGTTAAATTCCTTTCGCTCAGTTGGTGATGCCGCTTCCTAGTCGGTTTGTGCGTCGGGACCATCAGAGTTCGATGAAAGCGTGTCTTCTCCCGCTATTTGATGCGTGTCTTTTGGGTGCTTTTTTTCCCCCCCGCGGTCTAGCTGTTGGGTTTCACCTGATGCCCAATCTAATGAATGAATTGCATCTTCCAACCTCTTAATTGGCGTTTCCTTCCTTTCCCAATGCAGAGTGATGAGTCAGCGTCTGTATTCCTTTCTAAATAGTGTGGCACTCTTTTCTCTCCCCCCCCCCTTCGTCTGAGTAATTTCCAATTCATTGTTTAAAGTGAGCACCTTGGGTTTTCCCAGACTCCCCAGGCCTACTACTCCTGCCTGGAGTAAGTACGCAGAGTCAGCCTGCTGCATTGTCTCTCTTGCCTCGCTCTGCCTGGTATTGATTGATACGACGGTGATCAGAGTCCGCTTGGCTGGGTTAGCTGATGGGGAAAGTACGTTTTGGGGAATGGATGACGATGGATGGACACTCAGGACCTGTGACTAGCGTCTCAGAGCGTCATTCTTACCGTAGAAAATATGTTCAGGAAAGAAGGTCCATATCAGTGTTCAATGTTGATACCTTTTTTTAAAGCATTGTTTACAATTTCCATTCTTATTTCTCTTAACACCTTGTTCGGGATATTAAAAAACATACTAAACATATACCCCTTAATGAAAAATTTGGTGGTAAAATTTGTGTGTGAGTTTCCATTTCTGATTTCCCAGAAAAAAAGGTAATTTAGACAAAACTTGAAATTTGTTCTATTTGTTTGTTTGTTTGTTTATTTGTTTGTTTAAACCAAGGCTTGGTATTTAATAGCAGTGTATACTTAGAAGCATCTGGAAATGCCAGACTTAAGGCCTAGCAAGTGTACATTCAAGGAAGATGGCAGTTACATTGTATCTAAAATACCTGAAATGTCATCATTGCATCATGACAGTTACTGGATAATTGGTAAATTCTCATGTCTCATTAACTGCATCTGTTTGTTCCTTAGAAGAGGTTTCTTGCATTTGTCTGTTACATAGTATGCCTTTTCTGTTTCTTCCTATAAATTGTCTTTGCATCCACTATCAGGTCTTCTCTAGACCAGAGCTAAATTTTATTATTTCATACATTTCCCATCTTGTATCTCTCCCCTCCTCCCCAAACACACTTCAGTTGTCTGTTTTTGGTTTTCTAAAACTGTGATGTATACATATGAGTGAATAAATGTCTTAAGCTCTGTTGTTCCTGTGTGTCAGTATGTGTTTATGTCTTCCTTTTCCCACTTTTCTCCATGGGAAGTTGTGGTTTTTGTTTTGTTTTTAAATACAAGGGCTGCATGCTTCCTAGGTATTACCCTTTCCTGCATTTAGTTCACTCCTTGGAGCATAAGAGGTACTCAGTAAATATTTTAAAGTTGTACTTCTTTGGTTAAATTAGTGTTAAGCATTGTTTTTTTAAAGTTCTGATTGACTTAAAATAGGTGGACATTGTCATACTTCCTGAAGTTTGTTGATTTGTGTGTTTGTGGGATATGTGTGTGTGTGTGCCTAATGTAAAGTCTTGACATCAAAGCAAATGTTAAATAGGGTTTGATTTTGTTTATGAAGAGCCTATATTTTGCTTTGTGATCTATGGATTAGGTTTCTCAAGTGGTTACATTGTTTTAAAACTATGTGCTCTAAATAAAGTTGATCTTAACCTGTTTACTTTAAAATGCCTGTGTGTTACTAGTAAGGTTTTCTTCCTGCAGACACACACAAGCTAAGACATATGGTTCTATCTTCAGAAAACAATATGGTGTTTATAGCCTAGGTAGGTCTTTAAATATTCATTATCTACACTATTACTAATTTATTTGATGGTATTTAAAGATAGAATTGCCTTGATGTTGAGTCTGAAATTCTATTTGCCATATAGTTGCTGCAAAGTTCTGTTTTATAATGTTCCTCGTTTTCATTTGACATTTATTTTGGGGTATTATATATTAGTGATCTTAAAAACAAGCCAATGAGGTTACAATATGTGATACTAGTGTTTGAAGTAGACCAACCTTGTAGAACATGTTTCAGCCTTGGGTTGTGTGCAGTGCAGTGATTTGATCTGTGGTATCTGAACCCACGGTGTGACACTAAATATTAGCGGTCAATTTTAGTTTACTTTATTCATCTATTTGGTGTACCCAAACCCTAGAAATTGTGGCTCTAGGATAAAACCATACTATTCAATGCCACCCTTCAAGGCTATTTATTCTTCCTTGATACTCAGTAAAAAAGGAGGAAATAAGCCATTGATTTAGAGTGTATTCTGAACATCAGTGAACAAAGCAAAAGAAAACAATATAAGATCTCATAGATGCTGGGCGTTGGGGGCACACACCTTTAATCCCAGCACTCAGCAGGCAGAGGCAGGTGGATCTCTTGAGTTCCAGGCCAACCTGGTCAAAGAGTGAGTTCCTGGACAGGCTCCAAAACAATACAGAGAAACCCTGTCTCCAAAAACAAAAACAAAACAAACAAACAAAAAGACCTCATAGACTTGGCTGCACCATTGATTTAGCTATATTGTATGTATAATCAAGTTGGTTCTACTTAGTCATCTTTGTTTTTTTAAAGCTTGTATGGCTTCATCCTTTAGTCAGGTCCTTGGTCAGGTTAGTTACCCTACACTTTGGTGCCTTTCTTCAACTTTGCCTCCTTCCTAAAATCAAGTGACAGCTTAGCTAGTCCTTTAGAGGGCTGTTGAGGATTATTGTTGAAAATCTCCTTTTGTATAGGAACTTATTAAGAATAATAAAACTACAACTGCCTTTATGGAAATTTAGCCCTACAGTATTTTTATAAAGGTGCTGATAATTTCGTCCTTGGTGGGGTTACTTTTCAGAGTGAGGGTACATTCAATGGAAAAGCTGTCATTAGCTTTCTACAAGGCATGATGTTCTTAATTTCTGCCCAGTTGGACATAGGAAGTAGTTCACTGGCAATGCAAACTTCTGCCTGCTGTGAACTGCCAAGATTTCTGTCTCCCAGTTGAATCTTAGACCCACTGTTAGGGATAAAGGTATCATTTTCAGTTATTAATGCTTCAGTTCCCACAGTTCCTGTTCTTAGAAGACAAATAGACTGTAAGGTATGCATTTTCCTTACTTTTTCCTTGAGATAAAATCATTTTGGAATTTCCTAAGTATTTTCTGTTACTATAAGAACTCAAGCCATTCTTCTTCTTCTCTTGTTTTGTACATGTTCCTCAAGTAAAACTTAGAACTTTAGAATGTACTTACTACTACTTAGCTGCAGCAGAAGTATAGAAAATAATATCTTTTGGAAAAAAACTTACAAATTCAGTAAGCTACAAAATACCTTTGTTAGAATTATTCTGGGATGGATTATCTTTTGATAATGTAAAAGGCATAGTATATAACAGTATTTTTGAAAATATAAATTGTGCCTCTATTAGGTATATAAATTATACAACCTTGAGTAGAAAAGTCAGTCTAAAATTTAGATAAATGTAAGTGAAATTATATACTGAATTGTATCCTTTTCATCTTGGCAAACTAAGACATTCTCTGTGTTACAGAAGGCATTGTATGTGTTTAAAATTTAGTCTGTTGCTTTAGCAGTTAACTCTTGGAAGTATTTGAAAAATAGGATATTTTAGCACTGGACTTTTCTGTAAATATTTCACAGTATTCTAAACTGGAATGTTACAGTTTTTAATCTTTGACAGTGCTAGATACAGAAATTAATTATATACATCAATGTGCCTCTGGAATCTGGGAGTTCCCTGACTGATTGGAAATGGGTTGACTTAGAATCAAAGTCTTGTTAAACAAAAACAGCCTTTATTGTAACTTAGCTGTGAAAATTAACATGCATTTTTCTTACATGAATATTTTAAAATATCAGCACAAACTTAAAACTTTAAATCATCAAAACTTTGCTGTAGTAAAATGATATTCTAGTGTTTATTTTTGTTACCAGCTAGCTTTACTTTTAAAAATCACTGCTACCCCTTGCCCTTTGCAGATTAGACTGGTCAGATGCATATAGTATTTAGAAAATCAAGATCACTTGCTCATTTTTCTTTATACTGTGTCTCTTTTACAAAAGGAAGTTAGTCCGTGGTTGCAGGCTTGTAAGTCCTTGTGAGTGAAAAGGGGCAAACATTTATGGCTGATTCATAATCCTTTTACCATTTGCTTCTGCTGGGGAAAAACAAAAATCACTGTATGTCCTACAGTGGGTCAGTTCCATTTAATTATAAGGAAAAGATGGCATACTAGATCTAAACCAGTTTGTCAGCTAGCATATTCTTTTATTTTAATAGCACTAGATTTGTATTTCAGCCTTAGAACATGCACCCTGAGGTTATTGATAACCATTGCTGTGAAGTTCTTAACTAAGCTGGCAAGTTGCTATTCATATTTTCCTGACTTTTTTTTCCATTTTTAATTTTGTGTGTGTTCCTGTATTCATTACATGTGTATACATGTGGGTACACAAGTGCCAAAGGAGGGCATTGGATCCCCTGGAACTGGGGTTACAGGCAGTTGTGAGCTGATCTACCTGGGTGCTGGGAACTGAACTCTGTCTTCTACAAGAACAGCAAGCATGCTCAATGGCTGGGCCACCTCTCCAGCTCCAGTTTCTACCCACTTTTATCCAATCATTGTAGGTTTTACTTAACCTTAGCTAGCTTTCTCGGCCCTTTTTCTTTTAGCATGTTTCATTTGAATGCTTTGTATGTATTTAACGTGGCAAGTGTTGCAAGCCTTATTTTGGTCTCAGCACTTTTTCCTTATGTTATAGTGTGGTCAGAAAGTAAAGTGGTGTCCTTTTATTTCCCAGAAGAAATTATGTCACATTTTAATGTGTTTTGGTTTATGAAGTGGTTCATGACAAATGTACATTTAAAGTGTTATTTGTTCAGAACCAGAAAGACTTTGGCAATTTATTCAGATAATTTAAACCCAAAGTGTAAGACACAAGTAATTTTGTATTAAGACCTAAACCAAGGTGGTCATCTCCTGGGGGTTAGGTGGTAATTTTTCTTTTTCTTTTTTTTTTTTTTTTTCTCGTTAAAATTTTTAATCAACTACTAATCAGGGGGAAAAAAACTCAAACCTTTAAATATCTAGTCAAAAGTATATTTGGTTCTATCTTAATCTTTGAATTTATAAAGAACTTCTTAAATTTCCTTTGATATCTTAAAGATTGTTTTGTTTAAATTATTCAATTCCATTGTTCTTAAGCAATGAAGATGTGCCATCACTAACAGTCTTCTATAATTCAAACTGAAGCAGACCCCAACTCCTCCACCCCACCTACCCTCTGCTTTGCTAGAACAACTTGACTCTTACACTCTTCTTTGTTCATATAATTGTTTTGCTTGGCAGTGTTAAGCCCACTAACAACTACTCTAGTATTAGTTCATCAAGATGTTTCAGCAAATCAATATTTGTCAAACTTACGTTTAAATTATTCTGAAATTGAAAATACAGCTATTACGGGCTTACCTGGAAAAATTAATAATAGACAGAAACTTGAAATAAAAGATGCATTAATTATTAACAATTAGAGCTATAACTAAAGAAACATTGCTGATGTTTTTTGTTTTTTTGTTTTCCTCTCTCATTCAGATACGTAGGTAACCTCTCCAGAGATGTGACAGAAGTCCTTATACTCCAGTTATTCAGTCAGATTGGACCCTGTAAAAGCTGTAAAATGATAACAGAGGTAAGATCTTTCTGGTTAGGAGTGTCATCCATTGCCTGCTGTTGATGATAACATGAGTTGATTAACTTCATTTTAATTTAAACCTCAAATTATTCTTTGGGAGAGATTCATGTTGGTGGTATTGACTGCTAATCTGTTGATTTGGCTAGTAAGCTAGGTGAGGAGGCAAAGACGGTGTTGTTATAAATAGTCCTTCATGATGTGTTTAGCTTCAGATGACTCTGTGTGTAAATAGCTATCTGGGAAAGATGTAAGAAGATGGTATCTCACATATCCAGTGCAAGTCTACAGTTCAAATTCAGGGATTGATAAATGTTGAAGTCAACATTCGGTTAGGGTGCATTAGGTTAGTATCTACTAAGGCCTGAACAACTTTCTGTAGATAGGAATTTAAAGTGTTAGAATAATTTTGTTTGGGCTTGGAATGTAGCTCAGTGGTAGAGAATGCACTTGTAATATTATAGGCCCTGGGTTCAACCCCTAGTACCAAAATAAAATCCACAAGTTTTGTCTTACTTTTTCAAAGAAAAAGTTTTATTTTTCTCAATTAAGACTAGTAGTTGTTGTACCCAGGTGACATATGTGTTACTCTTTTCTTCCTGTTCCTTTCTGCTTGTTTATCACTTTTTTTTTTTTTTTTGTTTTGACTCCTATGTACCAGATACTATGGTAAGTGCTAAGAACCAGTGATGAATAAGAGAGTTGCTGGCCCATAAGATTTTACAGGCTTGTAGGGGACTGAAGTCAACACTCACATATGACGTAAATTATAAGTCTTAGGGGATCAGATAATTTACAGTGTTGTGGGAACATCAGGAGAATAGCTGTTGTGGTTGTGGGTCATGGGAAGTTTCTACTAGGAATCAGAACACAGACAGAAACCTAAAGGATAATGGACAATCTTCATCTAGTGGGGTCTGAGGAAGAAGAGTCTACGAAGAGAAGAGTGTTGATGGAGCCTATTGCAGAACAGGAGTGCTTGTGGAAAAGAAAATCCATAGCTCTGTTTCCTGTTAGAATTGTATTCAATAGATGGATAGGTAGAGTTTGAAGTGGAATTAGTCATAGAGATGCCAGTATGTGATGAGACAAGAGTGTTGGAAACTGGTGTTCTAGCCTAGAATTGTAAAAATCTTATATAAGAGTATTGGCTTTTTACTATTCTGGTTTATATTTTTCCTTCTTTTCTTCCCTTACTTTGATTATGCATGTATTCTTTCATTAATGAGAAATATATTTTTCGTGGGCATTATTAAAGGCACCATGAATACAATAGAGAAGCAAATGAAGTTCCAGAAGAATACAGATAAGAGCCATGGAGAGAATAAATGTTCTTTGATGACTGATTGGAGGATGAGGTTGAGGCCACATGTGAGAGAAGATGTCACTTCTCTTAATCTAGGCAGGAATATCAAGATGGCACCATCTGTGCTAAAGACTGGAACAGAGAAAAAGCAAAACCGCAAGGCTTCTACTTGGTAAAGAGGATGACTAGAATCTTGTGGGTGGTAGAGGGTAGTGGTGGGGAGAGAGTCTAAGAAGGTATGCAAGATTCGGATGCATATAGGGCAGTAAGGGCCATGATAGAGTTGAGATGGAATACCGGATTGTTGGAGAGGTTTATTTAGCCTGGGAGAAGACAGGGTTTAATTTTTATTATGTTTTTGAGACTAAGTTTCTATGTAGCTTTGGAGCCTGTCCTGGAACTAGTGTAGACCAGGCTGATATTAAACTCACAGAGATCCTCCTGCCTCTGCCTCCCAAGTGCTGGGATTAAAGTTGTGTGTGCCACCCTTACCCCTCAATTTGTAGACAGACAGACTGTTCTGTGTGGAAAATGAGTAGTGGGTACAAGGTGGGGGTGGGGCAGGCAGATTTATTCTGCTAATCTATATAGAGGTGATTGATGGTTGAGCTTTAGAATGGTGGTGAAGAAAGACAGTAGATAAATTCAGAGTTTTTGTTTTGGAGGTAAGAGCAATAGAACTAGAATGTCTGTAGGAGTCAGGGGAGACTTAAGATTTTGTCAGTGCAATTGTGTGGGTGTTAACATGCTACGTGCTAAAATGGGAATGACTGGGAAAGGCACAGGATGGATGGGGGAGTGGTGAATATCAAGATTTCTGTTTTGGCCGTGTTAAATTTAAGACACTCTTTGGCTATACAAATGGGAATTATATGTAGGTAGTTGGAGAAGTGAGTTTGGAATCTGGAGAGACCAGTGTCTAAGCATACAGTAACATTTGAAGTTATGGGACTAGGTAGGGTCATCTAGAGAGAGGTAGTAGATGAGAGCAGAGGCTCTGAGGCCTGAGCCCTGGAGCTTGGAACAGTTCAGCATTTATTTAAGAGTTCAAATCAGAGTTAAGGAGGAACAAATGACCTTCTGAAGCGTCCTCTGGTGAGGAAGTGGGGACACCAGATATGTTGTAGCACCAACAGAAGAGAACATTTACAGGAGGGAGGATGGTAGCCAGCTATTTTGAATGTGTGCAAGAACAGAAAAGAGATCAAGTGATAGAGAAGTCTCTAGTGAGTTAACGTGTGGGCTCAATGGCTGGGTCGGTTGGCATGGCAGTGGACTTGAGTGACTTCAGGGTGCACAGGATGGAGAAAATGGAAAGAGTCATTAGAACATTTTTGAGAGACGTTTCATAAATACTTAACAGATATTTTTTGAAAATCTATGTGTATACAGATTTTTGAGGAATAGAGCCCTTTACAACATAACCATGTCTTACAATTTCTAGATTTGAACTTGTAAATAGTTAAAAAAAAAATCTCTGATTTTTATGTTTTGACATTTATGTCATCCAACAGTGGTGACCAGACTAATTAAGGTAAGGACTCAACTGATTGTTAAGAGTGTTGTTTGGCAGTGGTCTAGGTAGGAAGTTTCTAGAGGACATGGACTCCAGGAAGGGATGTCTAACATCTGGAAAGTTTCCTTTTATAAATTTGATTTTGTTATATAAAGAATCCTGTTCTTAGCCGGGCTGTATCTTTTTGTTTTGTTTGGATTTTCAAGACAGGGTTTCTCTGCCCGGTTATCCTGGAAGTAGCTCTGTAGACCAGGCTGGCCTCAAACTCAGAGAGATCTGCCTGCTTCTGCCTCCTGAGTGCAGGGAGGGATTAAAGGTGTGGATCACTACTGCCCAGCTGATTGCTGCATTTTTTAGATTTTTCTATAAAGATTTTTCTGGGATGGAAAAACAGTGGTTGTTGGAAAGATCTTCATTTTATCGGGCATTTTATTCCTAGTAAATTCCCATAGAGCATATAGTCCATGTGTTATTCTCTTGGGGCATTTTGCATTAAATAGTTTGGAATGTTTTTAATCTGCCATAAAGAATATGCTTGCACAGTTGAGCTGCTGGTTAATATAGGTGTCAGTTTTTTAAAAATGTGTGTGTATTTTAGGTAGCTCTAATTTCTGAGCTGTTTATTTGCCAACTAATGAAGTTTTTTTTTTAATTTTCCTCCTTTTTTCTTTTTATTTAAATTAGAAACAGCCTTATTTTACATATCAATTCCAGTTCCCTGTCCCTCCCATCTCTTCCCATCAACCCCCCCCCCATCCCATCCCTCTGCTGCTTCCCAGGGAGGGTGAGGCCTTCCATGGGGGATCATCAAAGTCTGCACATCATTGTTTTTCTGTTGTGTTTTGTTTTGTTTTGTTGATCTTGGTGTTTTGTGGTGTAGACTTGTAGCTTTGTCCTAGGCACTTGATACTTACTTAGTTACTTGGTTTTAAGAGACTGGGTAGCAAACCATGCCTGACACATGCTGGGCAGTTTTGTTCTACCACTGAGCTGTACCACCATGCTAGAATATGGAAACACATTTTCAGCAATTATATTCTAGATCCCTAGTATATTTGCTGGACACTGGAAGACATACTCAAAATATCTTCTATCTCTGATAAATTGAGCCTGTTTTGAATTTTTTATTTTAAAGCTGCTATCTTTCATATGTGTGTGTACATATGCTGGCCTTGAACTTAGAGTTATCTGATCCTCCTTCCTCTGCTTCCCAAGTGCTAGAGTTTTAAGTGTGCGTAATCATGCCTAGCTATCATGTCTTATCTTGGAAGATGGCGAATTTCAATAACTAGTTACAAATCTTGAATTATTTTCTATTTTTATTCTTTCCTCTTCTAGATAAGGAATATATTATATCCAATCTGTGTAGCTATACAGAATGCTGAAAATTGTAGTAGCCACTGCCCTAGTTTTGATTAGAGGTGAAATGGACTCGTTTCTATATATTTTGTTGGTTTTTTTTTTTTGTTTGTTTTTTTTTTTTTTTTTTTTTTTTTTTTGAGACAGGGTCTCTGTATCTAGCCCTGGCAGTTCTGAAACTCTATGTAGACCAGGCTGGCCTCAAAGTCACAGATCTGCCTGCCTCTGTGTTCCAAATGAGGTGTGTGCTACCATGCCCAGCTGCATTTTTGTATTTTTCCCCTTTATAAGCCTAGAATATCGTATATGAAAGATTGTAATACATAAGTAGAAGTCAGCCTTTTAAAATAATGTTGGAGTCAGGTGGTGGTGGCACACACTTGGGGGGCAGAGGCAGGTGGATCTCTGAGTTCAAGGCTAGCCTGGTCTACATAGTGAGTTGCAGGAGAGCCAGGGGTACAGAGAAACCCTGTCTTGCAAAAATAAAACCTATAATAATAGAAGAAAAGAGCAGTGATAAGAAACAATCCCCACTATACCTGAGGTAGAGGTTTAGGGCTTACAGTCACCAGACTTGTATATTTTCATTTAATACTCAGTCATGATTCTTTACTATTTGTGTGGCTCTGCTGGAATATAACAGTATTCTGAGGTTCAGCTTAAGTCTTAAGTGCTAGGCTTTCATAAGCTTATACAATCTCATCTTGTGCGTTCCTAGCTGTCAGTAATGTTTTTTCCTGGATTTTCTTCTCAGCAACCCGATAGCAGAAGGGTCAACTCTTCTGTTGGATTTTCTGTTTTGCAGCATACAAGCAATGACCCATATTGCTTTGTGGAATTTTATGAACACAGAGATGCAGCTGCTGCATTAGCTGCTATGAATGGGAGAAAAATTTTGGGAAAGGTAAGATAATGGGATGATGACATCCCCTAAATGTATGTTTGCATGTTAAATCAGTCTGTATTTTTTCTTAGCAAGATTTAAAATAAGACAGTCGGCTACTGAGTGATCTCTATTCAGCCTAGTGCCTTTACACAAATAATCCAACTTGATAAATGATTTATTAAGTGGTAAGTGTTAACAGCTCATAATGACATGCCTAATAATTGTATTAAATATAATCTTTGTTTTTAGGAGGTCAAAGTAAACTGGGCAACAACACCAAGTAGCCAGAAAAAAGATACTTCCAGTAAGTACTCTTGCTGCATTTTACTGTGGAAGCGTGAAGTTATCCTGGCAGCATTACCAGCTTACCTAAGGTTTTTTTCCTCCTTTAATGTTGCCTAATTTCTTAAGTATTTGATTACCAAATGCTTTGATTTCAGATCACTTCCATGTGTTTGTTGGGGATTTGAGTCCAGAAATAACAACAGAAGATATCAAATCAGCATTTGCCCCCTTTGGTAAAATATCGTAAGTATCATAATCAGTATCAGACTCAGTAGTGATAGGCAAAACTGTATGATTAACTTGTATTAGAATCAAGGTTTCCTTTCTCTAGTTAGTGTGTTTTCTTTTATTTTTACTTTTCTTCTTTTGTTTTGTTTTGTTTTTTTGAGTAGATGTTGTTGCAAATGTTGATGTCACTTCAATGTTTGGGGTCTTGTTTTCAGATAATTGTGTATAATATGTTTAAGATTTTTAAGTGGTTTTGTTGGTTATATTTAAAGCAAATATTTCGATGGTAAACTTCCAGCTTTTTGTCAAATGTTTTAAAATCTTAATGGTTAAGAATATTGCGTTAATAAAAACTAAATGTGATTTATATTATGTACTAAACTTTTATTGGAGGAGTTTATAAGTGGGGGAATCTAGGCATAGATTATGGTTAAATTGACTGCATTATGGTTAAATTGGAAATGTTCATGTTTAAATATAATGATAAATGTATTTTGATATTTAGCTTTGAGAAAAAGTAATAATACTATTGCAATATTAAATGTTTTCTTGTCTAGATAATTATGAGATTAATTTGATTTTTGTTAGTGATATTTGATTCTGCTAGGGAGGGGACAAATGGGTTGTTTTTCTTTGTAATATATATGCTCTGATTTTGTTATTTGGTTAAATATATTGGAAAACTAAACGTGGTTGCAAGTTTTATAAACTGTCAGTTTATCTTTGATTAAAATGAATTTATTACATTTGTCAATTTAAATTAAATGTACAACTACAGAAATGTTTTGATTAAGAACAACAACTTTTCTATTAACTTATATAACTTGTTGTTCTGTAGATTTATTTGTAAGAAAGATTTAATTCTTAATTTTCTGTTTTGATATTTGCTTTGCTTTTTAATCTAAATGTGGTAAGTAGTACTGTTATAAAATTAGTATAAAATGATACAGGTTGCTGTTTTTGATCTTTATTTATACCTGAGACCTGCAGTTTTTCTACAGTCCAAGTCACAATTAAAAGTAATAGCATTCTGGTTATTTTGCAGAATTGCTCATAAGAATGGACAGGATCTTGAAGGCTAACTGCAAGGAACTGTGCACACTGGAACTCAGTTGTAGATTTTTTTTCTCATTTCTATTTATTCTTATTATACATTATTTATATATACATATTTTAGTATTTACATTTTAACATTCTATATTCAGTGGAGTTCTATATTTCCAATCATTTTAACTTACTCACTAAAATTTCTGTGTAAATTTGTTGTTTTCGTACTGGTGTGCTTAGCGTTGTTGTTAGTTTTTTATTCTCCTTTCTTAAATTTCTGAAAATGTCAATTTTTCAAAATTTACAGCTGCCCAAACTCCAAAATGATGATAGAGAATTGACCAAGAAAAATAAAGAAATCTGTTAACAGGCCATGTATGCCTTTTTAATTCCTATTTTTTCCTCTTTTTCAATTTTTTAATATTTCATATATTTTGTATCACTAGGCAGAAGACATTTAACTATTTAGATATTGCATGGTAAAGTAGTTAGCATTGTTGCAGTAATTTAATAGAATCAGTAAATTTTAGAGGACACTAGCAATTAGAATATTAGAAAAGGAAGCTGTTGTTCCTGTTAATCTTCAGTTTGAGTATCTAGTTAGAAAGCACAGGTTGTGTGATTAGGTTGCATGTTTATTACATGTTTTTGTCCTACTGCTTTTTTCTAACAGGTAAAGAAGCACTAGGGAGAGTTCAGGGATGGCTGTAGTTAATTAGGGCTAACTGGAGTTTATTTTTTAAATGCTCACAATACAGTGTGTGTGGTTCCTTTTAGTTTTTATTTTGAGGGTGACTTTTACTTCCCTCATTTAGCTGTGCTTCTTTTCACAGGGATGCCCGGGTAGTTAAAGACATGGCAACCGGAAAATCCAAAGGCTATGGTTTTGTATCTTTTTATAACAAACTGGTACGTCCTTTCAATTAACTATAGAACTTTTACGTTAATAATAGAAAATAATTCTTTGATTAACTTGAAAATACCTAGGAAAGCTAGGGTGATAACACAGTGAAGGGAATTATTGAAATGCTTTTGTACCTGGTGAAGGCAGAGAGAGCCAGAAGTAAAACTTGAGACCAGTGGATGCGAATCAGTGTATGAGAGCTATGTTCAGTTTAAAAAGGGAAATCTCTATTTTAATCATTTTATCAAAACTAGATTTTCATAATGAACAGTTATGTACATATGTTAGCCTCTTCTTGCATTTTCTGTGGTAAATACTCCATTATAAAGCAACCATAACTTAAGACACTTAAGGATGGCCTTGTGAGAGTTGTATTTTTCTTTCTACCCATTTGTGTGTATTGGAGAAAAATGTTTTAGGGGTGATGAATGTGATTATCTTTTTTATCCTTACATTAGTGAAACATGGTTCTTAAATTTCAGTGTTATTTTAGTGTTTTGAAACCTGTAAGTAAAAAGCAGCTTTTATGGTTCAAGTTGTTTTGTTGGTAACATCTTTGAGTTCAGTGGACTCACAGATGATGGGATGGACTGGACCTTTCCTTTCGTCTTACTGGGTCTTTTTGTATCTTTTTTTTTTCCCCTTTCTCTTTGTTTCTAATTACTTTTTTTTTCTCCATAGGATGCAGAAAATGCAATTGTGCATATGGGGGGTCAGTGGTTGGGAGGCCGACAAATCAGAACCAATTGGGCCACACGTAAACCACCTGCCCCTAAAAGTACACAAGAAAGTGAGTTATAGCTGCATATATGTTGCAAGTATAGGTTGTGATTACCCTGTGTAACATTATGTATTAATTTCTTAATATCTAAATTAGTATAAGTTCTACCTTGAATCTCATTATATGAACTTCAGATGTAAATACCTTTCAGGCTAAGAACCAACTGCTTTATTTGTAGATGAGATATATATTTAAGGCTGAGGCTATAGCTGAGTTAGTAGGGTGTTTGTGTTTGCTAACATGCATAAGGCCCTGAGTTTCCCAGCATCGTATAAATCAGGTGTAGAGCTCTACTCATGCCTATAATTCTAGCACCTGGGGATTGGAGACAGAGACAGAAGTTGAAAGTCCTCTTCAGTGTTGTAGTGAATTCAAGCCTAGCTTAGGATACTTGAGATATAGCCCCAATCTATTACATCATAGCATGAAGAAAAAAATTTAGTACCTCTAACCGGCATACATCTTAACAGTATGTAGCTGGGAGTGGTAGCGTATGCCTTTTATCTCTTATTCAGGAGGCAGAGGCTAGCCTAGTCCACATTGTTCCAAGATAGCCCAGGCTACGTAGAGATTCCCTGCCTCAGAAACTCAAGAAAATGAAAATAAAATCTTAAAAATGGTCTATAAGAACAAAAGATTGTATGTGGGACCTTGCACCTGCTAGGCAAACGTTCTGCTACTGAGTTTTAACGCCAGCTCAAAAGGTAGTTTATAATACTGTGTAACAGTCCAAATTTTGTTATTTTCTTCATATAGCAAACACTAAACAGTTGAGATTTGAAGATGTAGTAAACCAGTCAAGTCCAAAAAATTGCACTGTGTACTGTGGAGGAATTGCTTCAGGGCTGACAGGTACAGTGTTTGCTTTCCTATTGCCTTCTCTGTTGGTTTTTCAGCACTATTTTAGTATAAATTCCATGGTTAGCATGAGCTTTAAATGTTTCCTTTGTATATTTTTCTTTGTATAGATCAGCTTATGAGACAAACATTTTCACCATTTGGACAAATTATGGAAATTAGAGTTTTCCCAGAGAAGGGCTATTCGTTTGTCAGGTAATGATCCAATGATAAACATCTGCTTCCTTCCCTTCACTCCCTTCACTTACATTATTGGATCCTTACTAGTTGTCAGTTTACCTGCATAATGTAACTTAAGAAAAATGCCAACTGAAAGGAGTCAACCAATGAGTCCCTATATTATTTGGGCAAGTTCTTAAAGAGTGAAGACAAAACCTCACTGTTTTTCTCCTCCTAGATTTTCAACTCATGAAAGTGCAGCCCATGCCATTGTGTCTGTGAATGGTACTACAATCGAAGGACATGTGGTTAAATGCTATTGGGGTAAAGAATCTCCTGATATGACTAAAAACTTCCAACAGGTAATTCAATATTTCTTAGCACTTTTTGAGGTTTCCATCTTACATACCTACAGAGGAACTTTGGAAATTGTAAAATAAACAGTAAAATAAAGCATATATATAGGTGCTTTCAGTTGATTGTGTAAATGCTATTTCAAAATTGTTTTGCGGTATTAACTGAATCTTAATACTTTCTTTTTACAGGTGTCACCACCCCAATAAACTTAGACAATGATAAATAACAGAGTCCTATTCACATAAGGGTGCTTACTTAGTTTTTCTCTTCCTTGTCTCCCACTCTTTCTTCAAATACGGTGTTTCTTTCTTGTTACCTAAAACAGTAATTTGCTTTCTCCTAGGTTGACTACAGTCAGTGGGGCCAGTGGAGCCAAGTGTATGGAAACCCACAACAGTATGGGCAGTATATGGCAAATGGGTGGCAAGTGCCTCCCTATGGAGTATATGGGCAGCCATGGAACCAGCAAGGATTTGGAGTAGAGTGAGTTTTTTGGTTTTCCCGTTGTAGAAACAGATGAACCTCTGGGGAAAGAGAAATCTGTGCTCTCCTAGGAGAGAGTTTGCTGAAATGATGTTATGTTAAGGTGTTTGGGTTCTAGATGTTACATAACAAATCTCAGGAAACATAGTGTGTTTTAACACTTTTCATTACAGAGATGGGAATGCAGTCTGACCTCTCTGTAAGCAGCTGGTAGGGTTTGACTCATATAGTAGCACTTTCATTTAATTTTATGTGTATAAAAGGTCTTTGTCTAGATATGCTCAGAAAGGTGGTGTTTTTATTTTTGGCCTGTATAAGACATCTTGGGAACTTACATGACATAGTACAGTTTGCTTTCTGTGGTGTTGGTAGAGTTGGAGTCGTTGCTTCAGTTTTTCCCCTAGGCTGAGCTAGACCTTTATTTTCACGGCTTTATTGAGAATACTGCAAGAGTCAAGGGCTGTAACAAGAGTATTGCCTCCTGAGTCAATATTTTTATAAGACAGGGTTTCCTAGATCTCACTGACTCAAAGCAGTCCTGTCCCAAGTCTCAAGGTATTGGGAGGTAGACAGGAGGCCTTATACCAGGCTCACTTAGGATTGTTATTATTATATTTTTTTTTTTATTTTGAGACAGGGTCTCTGTGTAGCCCTCATCTGTCCTGGATGTTTGTTTTTTTGAGACAGTCTTGCTATGAGGCTTGGTTGGCGTGTAACTGTATAGACCAGGCTGGCCTTGAATTTACAAAGATGCACCTACTTAATCCCAAGTGCTGGGATTAAAGGTGTAGATTACCTTTTTCCTTGTGTTTGCTGAAGATTTTTTTCCCCGCTTTCTTCCAAGTCAATCACCTTCTGCTGCTTGGATGGGTGGATTTGGTGCTCAGCCTCCTCAAGGACAAGCTCCTCCTCCTGTAATACCTCCTCCAAACCAAGCTGGGTATGGAATGGCAAGTTTCCCAACACAGTGAGCTGGGACTCTAAACACAATTGTAACTCACCATAGGCTGCAGTTTCCTGTGACACTCTGAAGACATGGAAAGTAAACATCAGAAAGTGAAAATATTTATTTTAAAAATTGAAATGTTGGAACCTTTAGCACAGCTTTGCTTAAGGAAGGACACGTGTCTTCTAGTTCTGCCTTTTTAAGTTTTTGTTCATGATGGATATGAACATGATTTTTCTTTGTGTACAAAAACTAAAATAAAGTCAATAAAGACAATTCTGACTATAAATTTTGATATAATAGGAGAAATGGGTAATACATTTTGATTCTTAGACACTATTCCGTTTTTATCTTGCTGTTCAGTATTTTAACTCACTGTGTTTTTAAAAGAGCAAAAAAGGGAGTATCTTGAAAAACTGAGAATTGCATCAGTCCATCCTGAATTCTGATACTCTCCTCCTATCCCCTGAGGTGGACTGCATTGAAGTCAGCAGGAAAAGTGTGATTTCAGAAGAAATACATGATGTGGGAATCTCTGTGGAAGAAATACTTATTTCTCTCTCTTTAAAGAAACTGAAGCCAGACTGAAAGCTTGCAACCTAAATAAGGAACAGCATCGTAGGAGTTCCTTGAGCAAATGTTGGTGGTCCACATTAATACATATTTTTAAAACCTTCAAAGTGTTGGTTATCAAAAATGTAGTATATTACATTTCATTTTGGGGGAAAATTCCAAGTATGGTGTTTATATTAAAGTCAGACAGTCATACTTGTGCTTTTACATGGAGTTTAAATGATAAACATTGTAAATATTGAATAACTACAGTGTTTCAAAAGCATGCTTCAACATAGAAGTAGCAGCAATGTAATTATTCGAGGTGACAAGTAACATACATTCTCACTGCAGTGAGTGCAGTGCTCAGTAACAATGTTTAAGACTGACATTTTCAAGGTTGGCCATGTAAAATTAAAATGACAAATGACTACACAGAAGAAGCCTTAATTTAATTTCATACAAATCTTTAACGGTTAGTATATTCTAAATTGTAAGTGGAAGTTAGATTTGGGTTTTTTGGGTTTTTTTGTTTGTTTTTTCCTTTTTTCTTCATTTGGTACATAAATACCTTGATTAAAACCTAGTAAAATGATTTCAAGGTTCCTATAAGTTGTATAGCACAAATGTTTTTTAAATATCTTGGGATGTTTTTAAAAATAAGATATATTTTGCCCAAGAATTTTTTAAATAAGATTGCTAAAATATCTTTAGACAGCTTGATGTACCAATTTATAATTGGATATTCAATTTAAGTCTACACAAAGTTGTTACTTTTATTCCTAATTTGTTCTTTTTCCTTGTGGGGAGTGTGTGGGTGACAAGCCTGAATAGGCTTGAGTTGTATGTGTGCAGTTTATAAATGCATCCGTTGGGAAGGCACGGGAATCCAGTTGTGCTTGCACGACAGTTTTCCATCTATGTGGATACAGTCTGCCTCATATTCTTTAAAACGGGAATGTGAAATAGTAAAATCCTATGAGTTTCAATTGTGACAGCTACGGGGTGCAGATGTTCTGGCAGTGTATTAAACCTTTGGCCTGTGTATGCACAAGAGCAAACAACCCTAACAGTTACAGTGGTGTAGTCCGTAAGATGCAGCTAGTGTCCTCACTCAGCCATTGAAGTCAAAGACTAAGATAATGACCACAAAAATCCTTATTTCCTCCTTTCTTCACTTAAAATACAGCCAAATGTATTCAGCATAAAAATTTACAGTGTCTGAAGTTCATTTTTGAGCCAAAATCTTTATGTACCTTAGTTTTTTGTTTTTTGTTGGTTTTTTTTTTTTTTTTTTTTTTAACCACAGCAGTCCTGTGTTATACTTATCTATGACTACATAGACTGGTTTCTTCTGGTCATCCTGCCTTTGAGGGATGTTCTGGAAAAGGTACTTTATATTTTATAAGAAAAAAAAAAACTATATTCTGCCCCAAGTTAAGATTTTCATTAATCTTTGTGAAACTCAAACATCCTAAAGATTTTCTAAGTTGTTGAATTGATAAGAGCTTATTAAATTAAAATTTCATTTTGCCTTTTTCCCCCCTCTGCCAGTAAATTAAGTGGCTTATTGAGACAACTAATGGCTAACTCTAGCTGTGGTCTTTTCTGATATATATTCTGTGATTTAATAAAATTATCCAGACTAGTTACATCGCCATAGTGAGCATGTGACTGACATGTCTTTTGTCTTAATTTGGATGAGAAAAAAAGGTTTCTTGATAAGTCAGTCACAGTCATTTCATGGCAGATAGTTTTAAGATAGAAAGGGACATGTCCAAACGAAATGCACCATTTTAGAAAGTACAACAATCAAGCTAACACCGGTTCAGACTGTCTTACTACACAGATTTGAGTTTGTGCCATCTCGATCCACTTAGCCTAAGAACTGTTGCCTTCTCCTTCGTGTGTTGGTTAAGAGCAGTGGAGAGACTCTTCGGCATGCAAGGAAATGTCTCTTCATGGTTTCTTGAATTTATCTTGGTGTGTTTCTGCCTGCCATCGTCTGTGCTCGAACCCTTTTCTACTAGCATTTCCTTGGTGCCAGTCCGTCTGATCTCTATGTCTGCCGGCAGTGAGAGGCCAACTAAAGCCAAAGCTGTAAACCACAGTTGAAGTAAGTCTTTCAATAAAGACTAGACTATGTAAGTGGCTTTTTCTTATTGTTGTTCATTGTGTAACTATTCAGTTACTGCCGTGAAATAAGCAGTTTGCTTTTATCAGCAAGGAGATAAACATACCTATACTTCCAGGACTTGGGTTCTTTGTGTTAAATAAAATTGAAGCTCTGTATATGGAGGGCCAGAAATTGGTACCCATGGGGTCAGTGAGATGATTCTGGGTAAAGACACTTGATGCCCAACCTGATGGCGTGAGTTCTGCTCCCAGGAAACTACATGATGGAAGGTAACAACTGACTCTGGTCTCCATGCACACTGTGGTATATGTGTAGACTCACACCTTTGTGTGTGTGTGTGTGTGTGTGTGTGTGTGTGTGTGTGTGTGTGTGTGTGTAGTAGTAGTAGTAGTAGTTAAGTCTTGGCTGTCCTGGAGATTGCTATGTAGATAAGGCAGGCCTTTAACTCACAGAAATCCTGCCTCTGTCTCCCAAGTGCTGAGATTAAAGGCATACATTACCATACCTGGTAAATGTAATGCAACTTTTAAAAAGAAAATCTCATCTTTCTAAAAGGTGTTATTTCTGTTAAGTGTTAGAAAACTTCATTGTTTTGAATTCTGTAAACATTGTTCAGAAACACAAATGTTAGGAAGTAAATACAACCAGGGTTTTAGACATACAAAGTACAAGTGTCTCCAAATTAGACTCTCACTTGTATTTATGATGTATATTGCAAAAAGGCAAAACCTTTTGCAATTTTTTTTTTAAAAACCCATCACTGCTGGGTATGGTGTTGCACACCTGTAATCACAATACTCTGGAGGCTGGGCCTGAGCAACATAGCAGAGATCCTTTAACACTCTTCCCCCAAAACAATCCTTATATCACCTGTAACACAAATAACAAAAACCCAAAGATAGATACCGGGGGTCAGGCTGAAAACCAGAAAAGCAAAGCAGCCAAGCCACCAGAGAGATCTCACATCTGCCAGTGCTCAGACAGAAGAGGGGATCTACTGGACCGCAGATCGCATCTCCAGATTGCACTGCCTCTTGCCAAATCTCAGACTACTGCCTGGGACTGCACTGAGCTCTTTATATTCTCTCTAGTGCTGGGATTAAAGGCCTGTGCTCTGTTTCTTTTTTAGGCTGATTCACTCTCATGTAGCCCAGGGTGGCCTTGAACTCAGAGATACATCTGCCTCTATTTTCTGAGTGCTAAGATTAAAGGTGTGTGCTACCACTGCCCAACTTTTTTTTTTTTTAAATTTATTTTCTTACATTCCAACTGCCCAGCTTCTATGGCTGTGGCCAGCTTTGCATTTTGATCTCCAGGCAAGCTTTATTAGATCATAAACAATATCACCACGATTTCCCAATCAGTTATGTTTAAAAACATGTTCTGCCAGGCTTAGTAAAACAGCACGCTGGTAATTATATTCATATAGGCAAAGATTGATGCCTGGTCCCTTTTGGGCAAGTTGGGCATCGTGCAAGGGATGAAACCCCCAGACCTTGAGCATGCTAGGGAAATGCTCTACCATGGAGCTACACTCTTAGGAGACCTGCTCCATTTGGGGAAGAGAAGTTGAAACAATCTCAGTATGTAGCCCAGACAGACATTGATCTCATGCCCTCTTGCCTTAGCCTCCCCAGTGCTGGGCTTACAGGTGTGTGCCACCATACCACAGTGTTTAAATGCCCTGTTAACATGAAGTTTGGTTCTTGTTTTCTACTGGAGCTGGGCATATTTGAAAGACGAGATAGGCTAGGTGTTTTGTGCAAATTAAGGTGCTTTGTGCAAATACCTCTATTAGATATTTGACTAAGAACTAAATGTGAAAGGAAATTTAGGGAATAGGGTTAGTAGAGTGGACACACCACTGGAAAGGAGTTGCTGAGGAGATGGCTCAGGAGGTAAAGTGCTCTGCGTAGCACCCATGGTGGGGACTAGGACAGGCAGTCTCTGGGAGCCTAGATGAAATGAAGTGTTTAGATTACAGTGGTGGCCTGGTGAGGTGGCCCCACTGGTGGATGCTTGCTATGGAACCTGATGACCTGAGCTCCATCCCCAGCATTCATATGATAGAGAGAATTGACTTCTGCCAACTAGCTTCCAACCTCCACCCATACACCCACCCAGTTACATAGACAACACGGTAAAATAAATAGGGTTCCCAGACTCCTCCAACCGCTGGGCTCAAAGCTAGTCTCTGGTATAGCTGGGACTGCAGGTTTATACCACTGAGCCTGGTTCCATATATAATGTCTTGAAGTTGCTTGGAAAAGTCACAAAACAATTAAAACTAGTGCATTTGGATAATTGTTAGAGGACCGTCAGGCAATCCTGTGCTGAAAGTAATGGCTTCTAGTTAAGGTTCAGTCATTGAACTTGAAGCTGGGCTCTGCTTACCTGTGGATCTCACTTTGACTTTTCTTCATTTTTTTTTTTTTTTTTACTGAGGGGGGTTTTGCAAAATTTCTGGTTATTAAGTAGAACCGTAGAATTGGGACATTTTAAAGATAACCAGGTTTTATAATGTATATAGCTAGCAGGTAGCACAATACTGCAATCTCTGACCCCTCCCCATTTTAAAGAAATCATT